CAGGCGTAACAAGGTACAAAGTAGTGAAGTGACATGTTTTAGGGCCACAGTGGTAGTTTATTACAGAACTGGGATTAGAAACAAGGTCTACTTTTTCCTTACACAGGCTCTTGATGTTTAGACAATTTTCCTCCCGTTCCTCCACAAAACGTCCATGCCACACTAAGATAGGGCATCTGCTGGGTGTCATAGAGGGGGACATCTGCTGGTTACCGGTCTCTCAGTTGTCACCTGAATGGTTGTTAATGGTGAAGACAGACTCTTGAAGCCAGTGGAGACTGATATAATAAAGCATCCAGACATTTCAGCTCACAGGATCAAAATAGTACAAGGCTTTAAATTTGTGCACACTGATAAAACTGAAAAATGCAAATGAGCCTGAACTTGCCTTCTGCCCCAAACTTGAATGTGAGAACACATCTGAAGAAGCCGCACAGCCTCTAGCATGACATACATTACACACGAGTATATAGTCTATCTCCCTGGTTCATCTTCCCTCGTTTTCACCTTCTGTGCATTTATAGTGATTCTTTTGCTTGTGTTCTTTGTTCCACACCTTTTCTCATGCCGTTAATTGTACCTACGCTTTGCTCTACCCTTGTCCAATTGATCGTGTCTCGTTCTTTTTGAGACTAAGGTGAAATGCCACTTCATTTTCTTTTCTTTTCTTTTTTGGGAAGCATTTTCTAACCTACCAACTTACCACCCAGAGGTCAGTTAGGTCTCCTCTGTGCTCCCCTCCGCACTGCTCTAATACCCCACGGATGTCCCTGTTGGGATATTTTCCACCTGTTACAATAAGAGGTTGTATGCTTCTTTGGAAACTGTCCAAACACCTTTAAGTTAGATATTATGCCTTGCTCATCTCTATATCCCTTCACTGTTCTTGGCACACTCATGAAGATGTTTGTTGAACGAATAAATCATTGCTTAGCTGAGATAGGCAATTGTCATGGTGGCATCTCTTACTCTCAACCTACTTCTTTGTGGATAATCCTCAAGATGCCCTCTAGAAAGAACCAGATCTACCCCTTTGTAGACTCAGCTATAAGATACACTCTTTCTGTAAGGATTTTGCTTATAGCAGTTCTCCAGTTCTTATTTCAGAATGGCTATGGAGCTCTCCCAAAATCTGGAGTGCCATCAGCACCGTAAAGAACTAGTGGCTTTAAGGATTCACTTATGGAGCTCAGTGTGATAAGTAGTACACATATGCTTCTTGAAAGAAAGCACTCCTAGCTGTCTGAGATCCATCCAGGAGACACTTGAAGTTTAATATCTTCTTCTTAAGTCCAGCTACCCTGGTTGACAAATGGATTCCCCCACCAGGTATCGCTACCCTGAGCAGGACCAATGCAAATCCCTTTTTCCCTGCTTACGTGCAGGCAGGCTTTCTGTGACAGAAAATCTTTCAGTGCTTTGAAGCTTTTTGCAAATGATGGCACCTGATTTTGATCTTGTTTCAATTTAAATTACTTCAGACTTTTTTTTTTAAAGATTTTATTTATTTATTTGAGAGAGAGAATGAGAGAGAGAGAGCACATTAGGGGGGGAGGGTTAGAGGGAGAAGCAGACTCCCCGCCGAGCAGGGAGCCCGATGCAGGACTCGATCCCGGGACTCCGGGATCATGACCTGAGCTGAAGGCAGTCGCTTAACCAACTGAGCCACCCAGGTGCCCCTACTTCAGACTTTTATAGGGCATTCAATATATGGATTTTCACTTTAGGAGAATTCAAACAAATACTGAAATACTATCAGCGGGAAATATGAGCCCAATGAACCTAAGTAAGAATTTTTAAGTGTTCTCAGCAAGGTCCAGGGGGAAAATAAAGGGAGAGGATATAAGCCATTTCTGGCGCTATTATTAATGGTACCTTTTTTTTTTTTTTTTAAAGATTTTATTTATTTATTTGAGAGAGAGTGAGTGAGAGAGAGAGCGCAAGAGCGGGTAGGGTTAGAGGTAGAAGCAGACCCCCCGCCGAGCAGGGAGCCCGATGTGGGGCTTGATCCCGGGACTCTGGGATCATGACCTGAGCCGAAGGCAGTCGCTTAACCGACTGAGCCACCCAGGCACCCTTATTGGTACCTTTTAAAAGGAGGTGTAAAGCAACATAAGGGGCAGCTTCATTTACCATGGTACCACCTAACGAAAGACGAGGCATCTGACATTTACAAAAAAGGCTTCACGTCCCTAGGACTTAAATTCAATGAATGTAAAAATACCCTTAGTGTTGTGCTTGTAAAGCCAGTTCCTGTTCACTTAAAATCTTACCACTTCCCCAGTGGATAGAAGCCTGCTGTGTAACTTTCTTCAAGGAAGCAATCTGACTCACTTGTTCCCATCCAATTTTTTTATTCAAGGGAAAGCTGCCTACAGACAACAGTTTAGAGATGTTCCGTTTATTTCTTCCTGAAATGGCTTCCTGCTGCCTAAAATGTGCCAAAATGCAATTCAAATCAAAACCACAATGATACCACCTCACACCGGTCAGAATGGCTAAAATTAACAACTCAGGAAAATAACAGATATTGGTGAGGATGCGGAGAAAGGGGAACCCTCCTACACTGTTGGTGGGAATGCAAGCTGGTGCAGCCATTCTGGAAAACACTGTGGAGGTTCCTCAGAAAGTTAAAAATAGAACTACCCTACAACCCAGGAATTGCACTACTAGGTATTTATCCAAAGGATACAAAAATAGTGATCCAAAGGGGCACCTGCACCCCAATGTTTATAGCAGCGATGTCCACAATAGCCAAACTATGGAAAGAGCCCAGATTCCATCGACAGATGAATGGATAAAGATGTGGAATATATATACAACAGAATGTTACTCAGCCACCAAAAAGAATGCAGTCTTACCATTCGCAATGATGTGGGTGAATCTTCATCAAAAAGAATGAAATCTTACCATTTGCAATTTGCTGAGTGAAATAAATCAGTCAGAGAAAGACACGTGCCATATGATTTCACTCATATGTGGAATTTTTTTTTTTAAAGATTTTATTTATTTATTTGAGACAGAGAGCACATGAGAGGGGGGAGGGTCAGAGGGAGAAGCAGGCTCCCTGCTGAGCAGGGAGCCCGATGCGGGACTCGATCCAGGGACTCCAGGATCATGACCTGAGCCGAAGGCAGTCGCTTAACCAACTGAGCCACCCAGGCGCCCCCATATGTGGAATTTAAGAAACAAAACAGATGAACATAGGGGAAGGAGCATGGAAAAATAAAATAAGATGAAAATTGGAAGGGAGGCAAACCATAAGAGACGCAGAACTCTAGGAAACAAACTGAAGGTTACTGGAGGGGAGGGGATGGGGTAACAGGGTGATAGGCATTAAGAAGGGCATGTGATATAATGAATACTGGGTGTTACATGCAACTGATGAATCACTAAATTCTACCTCTGAAACTAATTAAAAATATTTTTATTTTTTATTTTTTTAAGATTTTATTTATTTATTTGACAGAGAGAGACCACGAGAGAGGGAACACAAACAGGGGAGTGGGAGAGGGAGAAGCAGGCTTCCCGCAGAGCAGGGAGCCCAATGCGGGGCTCGATCCCAGGCCCCTGGGACCATGACCCAAGCCGAAGGCAGATGCTTAACGACTGAGCCACCCAGGCGCCCCTAATTTAAAAAATATTTTAAAAACATCAAAGAGACTAGGAAAATAAAATGTGCCAAAATGAAACTGATAAAGGACAGCCAAAATATTTTCATGAAATCTCTGGGAAACAGTCACAGAGACACCAGAATGCTGTAAGTGTCCAGAGAAAGCACACTATATTTAGCAGAGTGATGTTAATAAACAACCCTTGGGGATGGTAGCACCTGACTTGAATTACTAAATGTAACACATAAGAGTCAGAAAAAGGTTAAAAGCAATGATGAGGGACATATTTAATGGAATTGGAGGCATAGAGAATATGGCCCCCAAAAGCCAAAAGTTTTCTAATTTGATCTACCATTTGGGTTACTGGTCATTTACCAACATCGGGCAGTGTTAACCAGAACAAGAACAATTAGGAAGGAAGAGATATAGGATTTTCTAGTCACATAACTGAACAAGGGATGGAGTATGAAAGAAGACTCTAACATGATGCTCAGATTTTTAACTTGTCTGACTGGGACGATGATGTCATTTCATTAGAAATAAATAAATAAGAATAACAGGTTTTTCAGGAATAGATTATGTGGTCAGATTGGGGAAATTTGTGTTGCTGGTATCTATTTGATATTTGGGATGGCAAGGTCCAGTAAATAGTTAATACAATGAGTCTGGAGCCTGTTATATAAATGGCCCAAAGATAGTCCCTGTATATCAGCCCCAAATCACTGCCACCTTTCAGAGCTCTCTGACCTGGAAACTTCCCATCTTCTACTGCATGACATCAGCTAAACACAGCAGTGTTTTCTCCAATTCTCCTCTTTCCTGGGGGTTTCCCTTGCCCTTTTCCCTTTGAGGCGGTGGCTGGAAGGTCTCCTTCAGGAAGGGACTTCTGTGCAATGCTGTCCAACGCCTTATAACAGGTGGTTATGAAAAGTTTCCTTGAGAAATAAACATTTGAGCAGAAATTTGACAAAGGAATATATATGAGTCCTATGAGTTAAATATGATATGCAGATGAAGAGGTGGAGGATGGGAAAGACTAGGGAAAAAGATTTCAGGCAGGGGGAACAGCATTCTGAAAATCCCAGGAAGGAGGAAACAGCCTGTCCACAGTACTGAAAGTGTAGAAGGAAGGAGCAGCACAGGATGTGCTAGGGAAGGCAGGTCGCAAAGACCTTGTTGGACCAAGAATAGTTTTGTTTTTTCGATTTCAAGAGTAATCATATGCTCTGAAGTGGGGGTGGGGGTGGTTTTAGCAAAGCTGCGTTTTAAAATAACTGCTCTGTCTGCACAGAGGAGAGCAGATTAGAAAAGGTCAAGAGCCAATGGGAGAAAGAGGACTTTGGGGACTTCTGTGCTATTCTGGGTAGAGATGATGTGACTTGGGCTCAGTGCTAGTACTGAAGATGGGTAATAAAGGACAGACTTGAGAGCTGTTTTGGAGATAAAGCTAAGAGTCGGTGGTGATTGGATCAAGCATGTCAACTCTAGAGGTATGTTCAGAATGACTCCAAGGGTTCTGACTTGCACAACTGGATAGTTCCCCAAGGACCTAGAGAACACTAATTGATAACAGTGTTGTTTTGTTTGGTTTGTTTATGTGTTTTCTGTTTGTCGTCATTGTTGATTCTTCCGGGTGGGTGGGAAGGTGTATTCATCTTCTAGAGCTACTGGAACAAAGTAAAAAATTAGATGGCTTAAACAACATAAATGTAGAGTCTCACAGTTCTGGATATTTAAAGTAGTCCTAGATCAAGGTAGCAGCAAGACTGGCACCTTCAGAGGGCTGTGAGGAAGAATCTCTTCTGTGTCTCCCCTACTGTGAATTGCCGGCAATCATTGGCATTCCTTGGCTTGTATAAACATCAACCTGCTCCTTACTTCATCTTCATTGGCACTCTCCCTGTGAGGGTGTTTATGTCCAAATCCCCCCTTTTTATAAGGACACCAGTCATACTGGATGAGGGGCCCACCCTACTCCAATATGACCTCATCTTAACCAATTACATCTGCAAGGACCCTATTTCCAAATAACTTCACATTCTGAGGTACTGGGGTTGGAATTTCAACATAGAATTTGAGGGGGACACAATTCAATCCATAACAAGGACATCACAGTTCAGGAGTTGACGTTGGCTCATACTGGGCCTCATAAATGTTTGAGATATTCTTTGATATTCCCATAGGAGATAGCGCTTCAAGGCAAGATCAAGCTGTAGATACAAATTATAAAATTAGGAATCATAATTATATAGGTATTAATTAATGCCCTGTGTATTGTTGATGTTAATTAGGGAAAGATAATAAAGAGAAGGTAGGATGGTACATTGAGCTTTATTGAAGAAAAATGACTAGAACCACATTTATTAATAATATCATTATTCAACTATCCATAAGGGCATATGGAAAGTACTGTATCGAAGACAGAACACGAAACTCATTATTTAAAGGAAACACTAAAACATCATCATCTTTCAGAACAAAATAGGAAGGTAATATGGGCTGGACTTCACCCTATTAAATTGTCATAAGCATTCTCTCTCCTTCCAGTAGCAGTTTAAAAACCTAATTTCTTCATAACACTGTGTGCATATGTCTGCATCAGATGGCTTGAGTTTTAGAGGTGAAGATTTGGAATGAGGTATTTTGAATGAGAACTTTAAAAAAAACAAAACAAAACTTAGCTTGGAGAATTGCTAGAGTTATTCCAAACTAATTTTGTTTTCCAGCAGCTACTGACAACCTTTCCATTTTTAGTTCGGTTTTTTTCAATCGTGGTTTGGGAAATAACGTAATATGTAAACATGCTGAGACCAGAGTCAGAATTTCTATGTATTTATGGACAAAGAACCAACATGTGTTTTGGACATTTATATGAACTACAAAGGAGCAGAGCAGCTTCAAAAAAATCTATGATTTGATGCAAGGAGACTATTATGAATCATATTTTGCCCTGTTCCCAGGACCCAAACAGTCTTTGAAATAAGTATGTATACAGTTCTATTTGGATCCTTCAGCCAAATGCAAAGATGAAAAGTACCCAGTAGATGGTTGGCAACGTCTTTGAAAAGAATCTCTTCGTCTCTTTGCAATGGGCTGTACATCAACCAGGTCAGCTCGATGCTTTTTGGCAACAGGCAATTTCTGAGAATCATTCTCATTGTAGCTCTTATTGAAGCAATCAGCATGCTGCATCAATCCAGAGGAGTCATCGGTAATGGTGCAGAACCTGTGTTGCTCCATTATTTGTGACTAAAAGCTAAGGGGAAACAGCTCCCAGAGCCACTCTGCCTCCGCAGCAAGGTCACACTCATTAACTGGGAAAGGGGTAGAATTCTACATGTAGCTCAATGCTCTGGCCCATTAGTCAAAGTTTGCCATAAATATGTAAAGGAGAGTAGCCTCTGTGATTTTGGAAGGGAGTGGGGAAATAATATGCCAACATGAGAATGGAGAGAACAAGCTTTTCTCCTTTCAAGAGCTCAATGACAGGAAGTGATGAAAGAGTTCAATATTAAAATAACCAAAGGAAACATCAAATCGATATCAAGAGGAAAACTGAATGAAATATAAAAGCCAGTGTATTTTGAAGTTTTTCTCTAAAATGATGAAGAGCAATCCAACTTTTACCTTTAGGTTGGGATGGCCTGAAAAATATTGTTAGTTGGCATTGACTTTATTTATATTATGTCAAAATATTTGCGTGAAAATTGAAACATTGTCAATGTATTTTCATCTGAAGTTTAAATAGAATAAATCTTTGGTAAAAAAAAAAATTCAATTAATATGTACACATTTATTGTATTACATAGCCGAGTTGTTCCAAAATATTTACATATGACACTAGTTCTCTGAGATATTAAATTTTTTTTTAAGTTTCCTTGATGGAGGAGGCCCCACCAGGCCTAGTGTGGTCATTTTCTTCAAGACACTGCTGAACAACTGTATGTGTCCTGGGACTATTCATCACACTGTAGGTTCGAAGGAATGCCAAAATTTTGATGCCTGGACAAATTACAAGTAACTTCCTATGGCTAAGGCCATAGGAAGCAATTATACCTCAAACCCAGATGTGAGATCCAAGAGATTGAGCTTGTAAAAGGTAGTTTTATAACCATATAAGGTAATTATGCTGAGGTTTCATGGTGACATGTTTAGGATATAAGAGATATAGAAAAACCCACTCTGAATTTCCAGTGACATGAAGGCCCACCTTGGGGCAGGGAGGATATCATTATCAGCTACTACATTTTGTCTTCTCTGAGGACTTGGGAACTTGAGAAGCCACTGTCCCAAACATTCCCATAATCTAATAACTCCTATATGTTTTGCTGAGTGGGCCATAACTTCTTTAGGATTTATTTGTCAGACTCCTCATTTTTGGCAAGCCTCTGGCCTGCTACTCTGAGAAAATATTTTACACAAAGTTTGGAAGATGCTCTGAGAAATTAATTCACTATATTTAAGATTCGGCACCACCCTTAATATGTTGATATACATTGCATATCACCATGAGGAAAATATAAGATTCAGGATTTCCTAAACTGATTGATTCAGAGAACTGTCTTTATTGGAACATTTATTGACAATGGCCATGCACACATTTTGAGAAATATCACCTGCACCAACACTAACTTAACAATTACTCCCTGAACCCCTTTTATATACCAGGCATGGTTATAGGTACTAGGAATACAAGGAGAACAAGCTATCTAAGGTCACTGCTTTGTGAAGCTTCTTTTCTAGACCTGGGAACAAAGATAATGATAAATTTAAAAAAAATAAATAAACAATAATATTTAACCTAGTAAGTTGCTTTCTGAAGAAAAATAAAATAAAATAACATGAAAAATTATGGGGGCAACTTTAGGTTGGGTGATCGGGTCCTCAGAAAGGATATGAAATGGTTACTTCCTGAGTTAAAATTTCAGGTTTAAACACCCTATGTACTCAGATTAAAGTTACGAACTTTTTAAATTTTTGGTAGAGATTGTGATAAATTTCTATTTTCCTTAGGTAAGGCAATACAAGAGCAAAATGAGCCTAAATTTCTTTTTTTATGTTTAAAATTTTTACTGGAAAATACAACTCAGAAACATGCATAAAATCTAAAAGTACAGCTTCATAAATTGTTATAAAGCAAAAGCTTGTATGATCACCCCCCTAGCTGAAAAAAGAGAACACTGCCAGAATCCCCACAATCCTGGGCAATGACCTTTCCATGAGGGCAATCACTGTCCTGACTCTTCTGGATCACCCTCACTTGTTGTTATGTATTTTATCACCAAAGTATGTAATGCTAACCCCTATCTATATCCTGGCCGTGTCTGTCTCATATATAGAATCATGCACAATGTTCTATTTGTGTCTTGCTTCTTTTGCTCAACATTACTTTGTAAGATCTATCCACATTGCTCTATGTAACCGTAGTTCATTGCCCTCTATTACTCAATGGAATTCACCACATACATTATGCATTTTCCTCTTGGTGGACATTGGAATGGTTTTAATATTTTGCCACTACAAGTAATGCTGCTATGAACATTTTTAAGTGTGTTTCTTGGTGCATTTAGTTACATATTCATCTAGTCTGAAACATATATCGAGGAGTGGAACTGCTGGCTCTTAGATGATGCATTTCTTAAATTTTCTAAAGAAAACCAAACTGCTTTCTAAAGATGTCATACCAATTTATAATCCCACCAGTGATGTATGAAAATTCCTCTACACTTTTACCAACATTCTCTACTCTCAGTCTGTAATCTTAGTCATTGTCACGCATATACAGTTGTATTGAATTTTGTTTTTAATTCACATTTCCCTAATGACTAATGAAATTGAACACTTCCTCATATCTTTACTGGCTATTTAAATATCCTCATTTTGACATTTATCACCTAGAAATCAATAATAAGACAAAAAAAATCTTTTTTCTTTTTTTACACTATTGCATGGTACTGCAAATATCTTTTAAATAGAATTGTGGTGTCTTTCATTCTATTGATGGTATTATAAAGAAATGATTATCTTTAATTCTATTGTAGTCACATTTGTAAATATTTTCTTTTATTTATGATTAATCCTTTGTGTGTTTAAGAAATCATTCACTGTCTTGTGAATTTTTCTGTAATGTTTTGAAAGCTTTAGTATTTTACCTTTCCTGTTTAGATCGAAAATCCACTTTGCAATGATTTTTGTATAAATGTGGAGAAAGGGTAAATTTTCTTTTTTTCCATATCGGTATTCATTTTCCCAGCATCACTTACTGAGGAGTCTTTACTTTTGCCACTATTCCAAAGTGTCCAATTTATCAAGAATTGTGTTCCTTTATGCTTGGGCGATAGTCTGGAATTTCTACTCATTTCCATCAGTTAAGTTTCTGTCCTTGAAGCATAAATACACTTTCATTATTACTATAATCTTGTAATAGCTCATTAAACAAGTTTTCCTGATTTTAATTTCTTTTCAAAGACTGTTAGTTATTCTTGGAACT